CGGTTGCTTCAGGACTCATGCTGCTCAGGTTCTAGAGCGCATGATACGATAGCTTACGCGCCTGGCTTGCTGACGAAAGCAAGCGATGCACATATGGCCACCAGTATTCCTGCTTTGGAGTTCAATCCAACCATTTTTGCTTAAAAATCATGTGATAAGCGGCCAAGGTCGCGAGCTCGATAGATTCGAGGCAACCGCCAACCCAGTCACACAGAGGAGCCCAAAGAAAGTCAATAACGAAGAGGCAACTGAGGGCAAACAGAATTGAACCAACTCACCCCTAACGTTGTCGGGTAAATGCAGCCGGAAACCAACCACGCAGACCCGTCCGCTCGTTCTGACCATATGCCAGCTTCTGGTTGCTACCTGCGACCGAGACGACGACGACTTCTACCATTACTATACTACACCTTCTTCTGCTAGAACTACTGCTCCTACTGCTACGAGTACTGTTACCACTACGGCTGCGACGACGACTCCACTACTGGCCCTTCCCCTGTCGCTGCCTCTGCCTCTGGCCTGCCCACATCTACACGACCATACTGTTCTGCCGTACTACTGCTGGAATTCTCGGCGACGGTCACAGTTTCACCAGGTTTCACTGACTAACTAGCTGGAATGGTCATTCATGTTGAGCTTGATCAAGGGAGTTTTGGGCTTCGCAACTGCGATGGTGCATCGGAGAGAACGGCCGGGCCTTCTGCAGACGGACCATCGCGAAGATCGTGCGTGATTCTGATGGTGTCGCCCTTCTCGCAACTCAAGCCCTCGAGCAGGAACGACTTGGGGGTGAAGCTCCTCCTGCGCTCGAAGGGTGGGTTTAGGGTTTAGGGTTGGATTGAGGCACCGGATTTGGAGCAACGGCCCGGTTGTCTTTATCGACCGGAGAAAGTGGAACCTTGATACCTCCCACCCCTTATCGACTCGTATAGAGCCATTACAGAACCCCTGTCAGAACCGTCAAGATCCCTTAGCCTTGTAACAACCGACTGTCTGATGCTTAGAAACTTAGTAGGGAATGGGGGAATG